CTCGAGTCCGCTCCCGACGTGGAACAGTTGTATTCGCCGCCGTCGCCGTCGCCGCCGCCGCAGAAGGACGAGTCAGGGAGCACGGATTTTCCCATGAATGGCCAAAAAGTGGAACAGCACGAGGGTGATTTGGTCGAGAAGACTGGCCAGGACTTGGATATCCGACCCGACGGCCTCCCTGTCTCACTCGAGGATGACTCGGAGGTAATCATGTTGAAATTTTACACAAGCAAATCGACCCGAGTGTGATTACATTCACGGCGAGCCTTGTAGCTCAATGGTAGAGCGTTGGCTGCGCAAAAGCCTTCCCACCGAGAACGCGAGTTTTTTCACAATTGGGTCAATTGAAATTATCGAAATGTACCAAACCCCTGATGAGTATGGTTAGCCTAGTAGTCCGTCATCCGGCGGATCCTAGATGATCACTTAGGAAATCCTGCCTGGCATTCAGCCTACTGTATCCGTACTGGTGGATGCCATAAGATCAGTCCCTTGCTTATTCAGTGTTTAGGTAATGACGTGTTTGGTGTATGGCCAGTTTGCTCTTAAATGAATTAACACAAGTGGTGAAGACAATTTTTTCGGGAAGGGCGTTCCACGCTGCAACCATTCTGTTACTGAAGAAGCATCTTCGTATATCGATCTTTGTTTTGCCGGGGCGTAATTTAAGGGGATGACCACGCAAAGTTGGCGTATTAACCCAGGTAAAGAAAAATCGGGGACAAAGCAACAATCCAGATTATTCCTAATACGGAAGATCAGGATGAGATCCCCTCGTAGATGCCTGTAGGAAAGGGAGAATAGGTTGAGGTTTGACAGTGTTCGCAGACCTTTGAGCATTTTGTCGCTCGCATCTGGACCTTCTCTAAGCCGGTACAGTCTTTGAAAATCCAAGGTCTCCATGCCTGTTTAGCGAATTCTAGGTGCGGCCGAACGAAACTTCCAAATATTTTGGAAAAGCTGTCCTTTTCAAACCCCACACACATTTTTTGAAAGTACCATTCCACTTTTTTTCGGAAAAGTATCCTCCATTCACCGTGGATAGAAATTGATACGCAGAACAGATAACATCGAAAGATGAAGAAAGATATATACTCACTGAAAGCTGTAACAGTCGACATCCTCTAGAAGCCTCCAGGAGTTTATCACAAAATTTGGGCCAGTTTTGACTTCCTTCAAAACGGTGCTAGCATCCTGAGCAGCTGACCCCATTATTTAAGTTAAAAGATGCAAAGAGGGGTGAACTCTAAAAAGCTGTGAGAAAAATAGGTCGACCTCTGTACATGTAAGAAAATTCTCATGCGCTTAGAGAGCAGAAAAAACATAGCGGCTCAGGTGTGTGCATGTATGTGTTCATTTCGCTTTCCGGTTCTTCCTAGTCAGCTCCAGTACCTGTCAGAGCAAGAAGCGAATGGCCCTGTTTCAAGATGACTGTGATTCGGCTGAAAGTTGGTGTTAGAACTGTCCTCATTCTCCCACGATGTCGCAGAAAGGCACCCGCGTGAGTCTTTCAAGCTGAATGCCATGAACGCGCGCTCGACAGCGTGCCGCCCCTTGGCTGTGGACATAGCGCTCTCGTCATATCTGATTGGTCCATGTCTTACAGAACTATCTCATCAAGTGGGTTGGACAGAAAACAGCCAATCATAACAAAGCCTTTTATCCAGAACGACTTGTGGGTTTTTAAGACATTTTACTCGTGGCCGATCGCGTTCTCTTTCTCTTCCGTGTTGTTGCATGCAGTTCGTGTGAAATATGAGTATCTGGCGCAGGTCCTAACAGTTGTGTTGAAGCTGCCTAATATTTAGAAAGCCACAAAGCCGTCTGTCTCGTGGTCAGCGGGATTCGAATGCAGATTAAGGCAGAAAATACGGGTTTTTACGCCTGACCAAGCGCATGTCACGGAGCATTCTTCGGGCTGGTGACCGCTCGCTGCCT